TTGTTTTTTGTATAGTTCCCCGCAGTTTTGTCGCTACCAGCACCAGTTTCCCCGGCAAATGCTTCTAGCTAAACACATTAAGAATGGCCGCCAGAACTGTTAGGAAACACACCCTTAAAATTTCAGCTTTCTAGCTTTCCTGACTCCTGAGTTAGCAACTTAATGGAAGAACTTTCACGGGCCGTGCGTGGGTACCACGCACACCCGATGTCTGGGTTTGAGCTCGTTAAGGCTTAGTTGGACGGGAAACTTCTTCTTAAATACATTCTTCTGGCCCTTCAGGTTCTCGAGTTAGCAGCTTACCCGAGAAAAGCTTTGGGGAGTTCGTACGTGGGTACCACGCGCACCCGGAGTCTGGGTTTGAGCCTGATGAGAATTTGGTGAACGAGGAATATCCTCTTAAAATTACAGTCCTTTAGCTTTTCAAATTCCCGAGTTATCAACCTACCCGAAAAAAATTTTGGCGGGCCCGTACGCGGGCACCACGCTTACCCAGAGCTGGATTTGAGCTGCTTAATATCTACTTGAAAGGGGAACATCTCCTTCAGATTTCAGCTTTCTAGCTTCTCAGATGCCCGAGTTATGAACTTACCTGAAAAAAATTTTGGCGGGCCCGTACGCGGGCACCACGCTTACCTGGGGGCTGGATTTGAGCTCGTTAATACTTACTTGGACGGGGAGCATCCCTTAAAATTTTAGCCCCCATGCATTTCTGGTTCCTGAGTTAGCAGTTTACCCGTGAAAAACCTTGGCGGGCTCTTACGTGGGTACCGCGCAGGTAAGACCGCCCACTTTGGGAAAAGGGACCCGTAAGTGCATGTAGATTAAGTTCCCAAAGTTTCAGCCCTGTAGCTTCTGTAGGTCTCAAGATGAAAAATCGATACAGAGGCTCAGCGCACAAACAGACACACACCCGCACGAATAGTCACACACCCGCTCACACAGGCAACCTCTCGTCAATATACGTTTTCCGCATTGCATAGCTGCAAAAAACGCACAAAACACACACACACACATCAGCAGTATCACCGAACTGTATAACTCTACGAAGCGGTAATTAAGAACAGTATCCAAAAAGTCAGTGTGTAAGTTGCCAAGAAGTAGGCCCTTGCCTTCCGTTCAACATTACGCACGATTTTGCTAGCACAAAAGTGAAAGAGATAAAAGCAAACAAGAGGAATATTTGAAGTGTTCATCCGCAATACTTATCCGAAAATCAACTGCAAAATAAACTTAAGAGGCTGACAGAAAGTCCGAAATGAAACCATGTACAAGTACGGTACCCCAACTGCGCTAAAATGTAGGAGCGACAAAATGAAGCATTACACCGCTGTGCCGATGAGAACAAATTCATTTGGCCAAATTTGTGGCACAGTGTAAACATCTCCACTAACGAGACGAAGCTGATGCACACAGTGCTTCGCATTCAAAAATAAAATAATTAGCGCACCTTCAAAATTCTCTGTTTTTGCTGAGAATTTCGACTCATTCTGCTGATGCTGTTGCTGCTCAGATTCGTTTTCTGGAAAACGAAATTTTAAAACAACAAACTGAAAAGCATCGACAGCTCTAAGAAAGTACAAATGTGCCAAAGTAAGCCCACCCCTTCATACATAAGTGAATGTGTCCACTGCTGCTCAGTACAATTAATTAACGTCCGTGTGGACATCACGCCATGTTCGGACGAAAAACAAGACGAAAACGGCGCAAGGAGACGTCCGACAGCACAGATGCATGTACATACAACGCTAAATATGTACTGACAAACACATACACTCACTCTTTGCCAAAAATACATTAAAGAGCAGTAGCAGCAGCAATAAAAGGTCTGCGAGTATATAAATAAAAAGCATTTCACCTTTCGATAGAGCGGTGGCCTGTTGAGCTGTGGCACTAGCGTCTACTATGCTACTTCGCTTTGATACCACTGTTGAGGTCGCTTGCTTCTGGCTCTGCTTTCTTTCCGATTTCTTTGGCACCAGTCTATAATGATGCTCCAAGCAATTTCGTAGCACGAGCGGGACCGAAAAAAAAAAACACCCGGGTTCTTAGCGCTCTTGAAAGCACTGGAAATCCGAAAACCGGCCAAAACACTTAGCGAAGCGGACTTCTGTGGTGTTACTGCTATTCAAAACTAACCGCTTTCGATGAGATTTGCCTTTCACACTCTGCTTTTTCTTTGATTTGACCGTCGAAGGTCCATGAGCACTTGCAGAAGCACGGCATGCTCTCCCCGTGCTGGTTGACCGTTTCCGTGCCAATGCAACAAGTTTTTGTCGTTTTGCATCACGCTGCTGCATTCTCTCAAATAAATCAATCTGCTGCTGCAATTTACGCTCCTCTCGAGACTGAAATCACAATTATGTATTTTTTTTTCCTATTACAAAAACACAACTGATGCATTTGCCGGATGACCGTCATGTGATCTCAACTTCATCAACAGCAATGTTTTTCCATGCTTTCAAGAAGGGATAATTCACATTCCAAGCCGCTTTTCGGCAGCTAGATATAGTAAATTTGATTTAGCAACAAAACTTACATGAATTGTCTAATTGGTTCAAAGAAGGGCAGAGAGAGTGAAAGACCGAGGTAACATAGGATATCTCCCTAAGATGAATATATGATAACCGGAGAATGGTGGGCTTTTCTGTGTCCACACAACCAATAACAGCTTAAGCTCAAAAAACCGAAAACATAACGACGACGATGGAAAACCATACAGAAACTTGCAACTCACTTCTCAAAAAATTAATAAATAGCATTGCACACCAGAACAGCCGGTGCAATCATGCGTTTTGTGCAGTTCTGTCCACCGAACGATTGTCCGTTAATGATTTTCACTGCCTTGTACTTTAGTCTTGCAAAAACAGTCGAAACGCTGAAAAACAGTCAAAAATTCCACGCATCGGCGCGTGAAAGCTGAATTGGAAACCTCGAAAGATGAACATCCTTTCAAAATTTCAATCTTCTAATTTTCTGACTTTCGAATGATATCCAAGACAAAACTGTCACTTGATCATACTTAAGAACTTGGCATACTTAGGTCTGTGAAGCCCCTGCCTAGGCAGAAAATTCTCGTCTGAAATTTTCAGCCTCCTAACTCTTCTGGCTCATGAGATGATTTTTTTTGCCAAAACTTCCACGGGGACATTGAAGACTTGCGGAACTGTACGCGAGAAGGGGATGCTACGCTAAAATTCCAGCTTTCTAGTTTTTGCAGTTCACGAGATAATAATTCCCCTATCAAAACTTTTCACTGGGCGTGCGTGGTACCCACGCGCGTGAAGGCTGAATCCAAATTTACGGGGGTCGTAGACTGATAGGGGACATCGCCCCAAAATCTACGATTGCCAACTTCCGTGGTGCTCGAGATAAGATAATAATTTTCCCCGCCGAAACTTCCGCGGGGCCATGATACATGGTTGCGTGGGAAGGATGAATTTAAATTTGCGGGGTCGTATACGAGCAGGGGATCATCACCCTAAAATTTCAATTTCGTGGATTCTGTGGTTCCTGAGATAATAATTTACCCGCCAAAACTTTTAGGGGACCGTTGTTCGTGTTACCCTTGGGCACGGAAAGGCTGAATTTAAATTTGTGGGATCACACGTGGCTGGGGAATGTTACCCTAAATTTTCAGCTTCCTAGCTTTTGTGGTTCCCGAGTTTAAAGTTGCAAATAAGTTGCTGCGGGTACACACAAACACACACAGACAAACCTGTGACAATATGCGTTTTGTACTGCTGCAGCACAGCACAAAACGCATAAAAAACAGCTACTTCGCAGTTAGCTGTTAAAAACAGCCATCCAAATTACTGCCCATTTCTAGAAAGCCCTATCCGAGTGTCGCACGGCCTGCCACCCTACCGATAAGAGAAAACTTAAGGAAATTGCTTGTGGGCTAATTCTGACTTACCGAGGGCACACTACAACCTATGAGAATGAGCTCTGCTATGAAGTTCAATTTCTACATCTAAGCAGACCCGGCAGCCAAAGCGTGAAATTTATTACGAGCAATACCTTGAACGATCCCGACCAGATGGCCTTAGGATACTCTACACAGAGTTGACGAACTCTACAAAATGAAACAAAACCAACCATAGGTCTGTTTTGGTCCAGTGGAGCTGCAGAATTTGTTGCTTCAGGTTCCATCGCCGCTCGTGTGCTTTTACTGGGGAGTTTCTCTGCCGCACTGATATCATCAATTTTTTCACCAAACTCGTCAGCAGAACTGACAGTTCTCCTTCTCATCGGCAGTTCAGCAGTGCTACTTACCGAAGCCTTCGGCTTTTTGCATTCACTTTTATAATTCATTTCACTCCGTCGTTCCACAGATTTCATTTTTTCATTTTTTGGCAGGTCTGCAGGAACCTTACTAGCACATCCGTCTTGCTTGGCACTTTCGTTTCGTGGTGCAGGCGATAATTGTTTTTCTTTTTTCACCTAAAAAAAGTTAAGAACTCCTTAGCGCATGTCCGCAGCACATGCTCGAAGCCCAATTTCTATGCAAAAATCATTCCTGTTTTTACCTGTATGCGTGTTGTAATCGCTTCGTCTTGTGCGGCAACAGTCTCTTTTCTGAAAACAAAAAAGTCCTGCGCAAACTGCATTATGCAAATAGTCCGGAAATTTGGCATGACATACAATTGTCAAGGACGACAGCGAAGAAGAAATGAACTTAAACTGGTTTAGCTAAAGTCAGACTTTGCAGGTACAAAACCAGAGAACTGTGGAAAAAGTAGACAAGGGAGGTGCTGAAATGATATTAATGATGCTGGTCGGCAGTGGACTAGTGAATGCTGCATTAATATGATGGGAGTCGACTCAGTACGTGAACCGGATCGCAAAGCATTTGCGCTCTGCAAAGATCTCCGTCAGAACGAAAAATCCAAAACGTGATCCCATATTCTGGCACAAAATACCCGCTGATAAACGCAATTTGTGCCAAAAGACAAACTAAAAAGAGCAGGCTTCAATCCCACTCGATTAGGAGTCAAAGTAAAGAGCGGCTCGCATCTATTGGCGTTGTTCGGTGGAGCTAAAAAGATGCTAAAAACTTTTAGCCTGGATTTTCGCATATTCGTATATGAGAGAGTGACAGGTTGTTCTGTTGAATAACCGGGATTTACAAACTCAAATAAGACCTTGACAGTATGTATGCACTCTGCACTGCTCTTTCAATTCAGAACGCACAGTAGACATGATGGTATAAACAGATGGAGGAGCGGAATACGAAATGAGAGTAAAGTCGTTAAAACTCGAGAATTGTGATCGACCAGATACTCATCTGGGACTGTCTTACTGACGCATGCTTTTGTACGATGGTACAAGGTGAAAATGGTGACATGCTTGTTAAGAGTCGGCACCAGCACCGTTTAGCTTAGTATCCACGAAATTCGCACTGGAAAATCCAGTTTATGGGTGGACAAGACAGGACATATAAGACAGAACATCTCTAATCCTTCCTTCCCATACCGAGTCTCCAAAAGAACGTATAAGTTAGAACCCAAATTAAACATATTCATACCTTCTCAAAACATGAGTGCCACTCATATCCTTGTTCGTTGACGTTTCTGCTTTTTGAGGTTCTTCGGCGCAACTTGCGGCTTCTGACGTGGCTGTATCACATGTTTTAATGCGTTTGCCACCAGCGACCCTTTTCGGCTTCACTGACTCTGCGCGAAAAGTCATAATCTGAAAATAAATTTTCAGTCGCTTCATCAATTTTCAGTCGTTACCTGAAAATCAATAATAGCGATGGCTGTTTTCCCTGAACGTTTAATTTTTGACGATCCATTACGCGTAAAAGAAATTTCGTCAAACATAAAATTCGAAAGTCGAAGTATTTCGGAACTACCCAAGAAAGATATGGTACGAAGCTCTTAGACGGGCTAACAACTGTTTTTGACAGCTCAAGCCAAATTAAACACTGCTAAAGTGAACGGACAAAGACAGATGAGCTAGACTTCTCCTCCGCTGGCGGTTAATCAAAATTCTAGGAACTTGCTCCTCCGTACACAAGATCTTGGCTGGACAGTAACTCTTAGGGCTAAGCTGTGATTAGTCAAGAGGAGATGCGAACATTAAAAAAACCTGCAAGACGAAAGTACTTCACAGTCCAAATGGGGATGAACGCACTCTCAACGATATATCGCTTAACTAGAAATTACTTTTCTTTTGCAACATAAAACACACCAAGAAATGCAAGAACAGATCTTTGGTGAGCACAGAGCCGTGTACACATCCGCAGCGTAAATGATTGCACAACTAATGAAAGACCTTACAAACCTCTAATTTTTCAGAATCGTGCTTCTGCTCCAATGACTTGTTGAAACTTTCAATGATACACTGGTTAACCTCATCACACTCATCGTCGTGGCAAGCACAAACAAGTTTTGTTTTGGACATCATATAATCACCGTCGAATGGTACAGTCAACTAAACAAGAATATGCATAAAATCGCTTTTTTATCAGACGTCTTCAGCTGAAAAATTTCGAAAATATTATTAAAATAATTAGCTCCAGATATGACAGAGTTTCTTTTTTTCTCTCTTTTATAAATCGTGTCAGGAAATTTACGGCTGGCTCCCTCTGCTTGCCTTCGGTTTGTACCCGCTCCATCTAATATGCACGCGTAACCTACCTTCGTAGGCTGCCTGTGAAACCTCGACAGATTAATTAAATTCATTTTCCAAATACAAACAATCCGTTGAGCAACAAATAACATGAAGTTTCGCGGACAAAAATTCGAGTCCCCGCGCAAGCAGAACTGAGAATTCACTTTCGAAATACGCACCGATAGTTGCAGGCTGTTTTGACAAGCAGCAAACTTGATAGACCAACATGACATGTTTTTTTCGACAGGAAACTATAAAAGATAGCACCCACCTCGATTGCACTTTCAATACGATGCGCAGCCACACCAATAATGTGCAGACGTCCTTGCACAAACAAATGTCGAAGTTTGATATTTGGTCGGCACGATGGACGCGCAAAGCGTGCAACCGAGCCAAACTGACGAGCGTCCACACAAATTGGCGTATGTTCGTCTTTCCCATCAATCACAAGATCACTAAAAATATTAGCTAAAACACCGAAATGAATGCTGCCCAAAACGGCGGCACATACACCATTAGCACTGATTATCATAAGTAATACAGAACAATTCAACAGTCCGAACTTGAGGAAAACTGAAAAAAAGTACCAAACTGGTTGTCCTTGAACAAAGAAACACATCATCCTTTCGGCACCTTAAATCGCAGGAAAAATATAGGGAAGATGGAAACGATCGAGTACTGACACCACAGACTCAACATCCTGATGTTTCAATTCAAGCCTAATTAAAGTAATGCTTGATGGGAGAAAGAACCAAAACAGCTAAAACTGAGCTTTAACTGTAAAACGTGTACTGTTCCCAATTCGAAGTGGAACTCGAAAATCAATCTTATGATGTTGAGGGTAAATGTGACCGCTACATTCAGTAGCAAGTGATATTCGCCTACAAGAATATAGCACTAGTTCATCCGGACGGAACATGCGTGTGGCCATCAATCCTTGAATATTGTGTGCCACAAACATTAGGCTTGAAAATTAAGCTTAAAAACACAAGATGCATAGCCTTCGCTAAACTGAGACGTGCAGTTGGCATTTACTGCACAATTAAACAGTACCAAAAATTCTGGGATGCACATATGTATCGCAACTAATAATCAGACACAAAACTGGGATTCCTACAACTGGTAAGATCCGCATACGGCAACTGCATTCCAGCAAATGCTACAGTTTTAGATCAAGCCATAAGTAATTTTCGTCAGTGCTAACCTGTAAAGAATCACAAAAGGCATGACCATTCCCTCGTCACGACCGCTACATTCAGTAGCAAGCGATATTCGCCCACAAAAATACAGCACTGGTTCATCCGGACGGAACACACGTGTGGCTACCAGTCCTTGAATATTGTGTGCCACAAACATTAGGCTTATGCCGCCTGTCTCGCGCAATGTTTCCAGTACCGATGCATCCCCCTAAAAGTAAACTCGACATCAAACATTTGCTTCCTTTTATTGCCACCCCAACACCTCCAACGTCTGTGTCAATTTTTATTCGATCTAAGTTTTAAATGCGATTCTGGCAAAAAAAAAAAAAAAGAATCTATCCACATACTGCTTTTTTTTCGAGAGAATGCAGCTACTGTGATTCCAAATTCCTTTCTACAAGCCATAAAATCATAAAAAACATGTCCATGAAAGAGTAGCGCCAGTGGCATTAACAATTCTCATGAGTTTATGTGCCAACAGTGCAATGAAAACTGTGGGATGAGCGAAAGATGCAATAAAAATCTAGAAGCACAAAGATCAAACTATGCACCTGACATGAACATTTGGAAATTCCTATCAGGTTCCGCTAAATTTATACAACTTATCGACTGAAAAACGCTTGCCGTGCTAGAAAATCGGGCTTTCTCTGAAATACATTTATGCCGATACTGTTCTGACAGAAATAAAAATTCTTACACTCCTGCTAGAGGAACTTATTGGAAATGCACAATTTTACTGAATGGGCAGGAGCAATACCGCGCATACAAAAGCAATTCATAAAACGTACCGTGTCCTCATGTCCGCGCGAAAATGCCGAAATCGATCTACTGTACGTGCACCGAAATTCCGTCACAAAGGCCCTCGCCGACTTCCCCATGCCCACTATAACCTAAAATTCATTGGTGAAGACAATCAGTGAGTTTGCTAAAATGTAAGTAGTCTGTGGGAACACGCAATCCCACCTACAAAACCTAACATTCCCTTTATAAAAGAACTTACGCTTGATCTCCGCTGTTCCACTTTCTGCTCTGTTCGGTGCTTACAAGCAGCTCTGCGGTGCTGTCGTGCCAATTTTTTCGATTGTAAGTTATACGCTTCCTCTTTGGTCAACTTCATCGAACGTGGTTCACACTCGTCACATTTATAAATGTCTGGTACATCTTCCTCATCAATATCCACACAGACACCATGCTGCCAAGCTCTAAAACAAAGAATTATGCTGCAAAATTAACTTAACCACTTCAGGCAAACTCCTCTGCAATGCGAAATCTGCAAAACGCACTTGCAGCTGTCGCACTGAATCATGAAATCGTCGTTGTGCTGAAGGCCACAGTAGCACCGAGTAATTTCCACATCCTCCCCACCGCCATGAACCGGTGAATGCGTAACGCCCAGCTCCTGTACACCCCGTTCCTCGTCGTCCTCCGTTTCGCGCCCTGCAACATTTCTCTGTAACATTATTCAAAAAAATAAAAAACTCGCAAACTGTAATTTTATCAGTAACTCCCCAAACAAAGAGTATAAAAACCTGATGTTAGTGACGTTATTAGAATGCATGCGCAC